TACGATTTTGTAGGTTATCTGATTCTTCTTGTGACTTCCCACATCCTGAACTGAAGTGCAACTCCACATTTAATTTTTTGAAAATTTAAGTAAATCAAGAATATTTTTTTTTAATTTCTTAAAAGCTTACTTATTTTGAGAGAGGGAGAGAGCGTACATGTGGGGGAGGGAGGGAGAGAAAGAGAAAAGGGGAGAGAGAGAGAAGCCCAAGCAGGCTCCACGCTGTCAGCTTGGAGCCCAACAACGCGGTACGCAATCCCACAAACTATCAGATCATGACCTGAGCCGAAACCAAGAGTTCGACGTTCAACCAACTGAGCCACCCAGGCACCCCGAACTTTTGAAAATTTAAGTAAATCAAGAATATTTCTGTAAAAAACAAGACATAAAACCATATATTCATTACCACCTTCAATGTGCATGTACTTGCTAATGGAAGAAATTGAATCCTGCCTCTCGCATGTCACATGGAAAACTTCTCCTATAAATATCGAAGAGTAATGTGAATTGGTTAATAGTGCAAAAATGTTCCCCAGCTGCCATGTGTACTTGCAGTAAATACCACACAACTGCAGGTATGCCCAGAGCTACTGATCAGAAGACAAAGAGGAAGGGAAATGGAAACTGGAAACCACTGATTGTGCAAGGACCTACAGTATCCAGGCAATCCAAAAGGCAAGGATCTATAATATCCAGGCAATCCAAAAGGCAGGCCTTGACAGGTTGATTCGTTTTTGCTTCCCACACGTTTCCACCACAGAAGCCCTCCACAAAGTCTGAAACTATATCTGTTTCCAATGATGACAGTGGTTCAGCCCACAGACCTGCACAGAGTTCACAAGCAATCATGTTTTGTGTTGAGGACGTAGGATAAGAGATGTGGAGAAGCATTTCCGTGGGGCCTGAGTGGTATAAATCATAAGCAGAGAAAACCTTTTAAAGCAGAGGCCCAAGGCAGGGTCCTCTCTTGCCTGGGTCAGGGCAGTACTGATTTAACTCATCTGTGTTTTGATCATTAAACAGGGTAGTATATCTAAAGAACTTAGAACAGCACTACACAATGGTATTATGAGTGATGATTACTTCCTTCTGAATACATTCCTGTATTCTCCCAAATTTCTACAATGATATAATACTTTATTTTCCAATAAATCTCTTGGAAAAATATTCCTAAATAAGAATAGGGAAATTCAATGATAGAGTAATACGTTATTTTACAAATAATAATGAATATGAGGTGATGGATGTGTTAACCAACCTTAGTGTGGTAATCATTTCACAATTATATACATGTATCAAATCATCATCTCATACACCTTAAACTTATACAGTGTTATATGTCAATAATATCCCAATAAAGCTGGGGAAAAATTTTTTTAAATAATAATGACATTCCGAATCAATGAACAAAACTCAAAACAGCGCTTAGAATAAACATACTTTGAGCATATAGCAATAAAAATAAAAAGGAAATTGCATACACATATAAAATATAAATCAATTTTATTTATGAATGTATAGATGTATATAATTATAATAAAAATTACCAAATAGTGAAAAGAAATACATTAAAAGAACATATGTCATAACAGAGTTACTCAGAATTTAAGGAGGTTTTAATATAGTAAAACCAGTAACATAATCATGTTAGGTGGTTAAATAATAAAAATTATATGATTATACAAAGATACCAATTCTTACTAAAAGCTTCTAACAATAAATGTTTTTTCCCTTATTAAATAGAGCACATTTGTTTAAAGCCAACAATAAACTTCATATGTAATGAAGAAACATCAAAATTTAGATTTTAACACAATTTTATTTAACACAAAGCAAAAGAGAAATACATAAGAAAAGACAAATATGTCTTTTTTGCAGCTATGGTTTTACATTTGGAAGAAACAAAAAGGCCACCTAACACTGGTAGAACAAAGATAATTCAACAAAAGACATTTAAAAAATTAATAGCATTCTATGGGGCGCCTGGGTGGCGCAGTCGGTTAAGCGTCCGGCTTCAGCCAGGTCACGATCTCACGGTCCGTGAGTTCGAGCCCCGCGTCAGGCTCTGGGCTGATGGCTCGGAGCCTGGAGCCTGTTTCCGATTCTGTGTCTCCCTCTCTCTCTGCCCCTCCCCCGTTCATGCTCTGTCTCTCTCTGTCCCAAAAATAAATAAAAACGTTGAAAAAAAAAAAATTTAAAAAAAAAAAAAAAAAAAAAAATTAATAGCATTCTAATGACAGAGATTCCCATACTGAGTAGCAATACAGATGTATTTAGCTAAGAAAAAATTAATGTAATAAGGGATATATAAGGCCTAGATAAAACCAAGGACAAATTATCACGAGAGAAATCAAGGAACCCATCAGTAAGGAAGCGACTTAATTCCTTGATGGGAGGAATTAGTGTCATAAGCATAAGTCTTAAACAGTTCATTTTAGACCTTGATGATTCCAAATGAAGCACCAAAAAGATGTTTACCTTAAATAACACATTCCTTAAGGGAAAAAAGACTTTTTGAAAATTAAAAATATATATGTGGGGGCAAAAAAGAACAACGAAGACCAGTATCATACTGATTCCATGGATTCAAACACAGAGTTTGATTCGTTACATGACAAAAAATACTTCTTCACTGCGAAGTGTCCAAAAAGAAGAAATTACGGTTTTGTTTTGGCTCAAAGCTAGGGAGTAAAAGCAGAAAGCCTGGCAAAGCAAGTGCTACGTGAGAACTGTGAGAATGCTAAGAGAACGGCCTCTCTTGGGGTCAGGAAAGACTAACTAGCATTTTAAAGAATCTGGTTTTGCCAGGTTTCAAGGCAGGAAGAGGGAAGGATTGGCACTTAACAGGAACATCCTTTACAAACAGAGAGTCATAAAATAAAATGGCACATTCCAAAAATTACAAGTAGGTCAGTGCACACAATATTGGTCTGCATTTTCAAAACTCAGTCAAAGCCCAATATTTAAAAACCTGAAAATGTATCATAAAATCTGGATCTGGCTTCTTTCGACTAGTTGGACAACATGACAGCCTGGGTCTGCACGCCCACACGGGTATGAGAGGCAGGTGCCCCCTCAGATGGGCAACTTGCTACGACACGTCCTCTCTCCCCCCATTTCTCTTACAGCCAGCTCACATCATCCATTTAGGTCACCTGTCTCATCCAAGAAGGCATTTGAGTTTATGACTCCTACCTTGCATCGTGGGGACCAATGAAGGTTATGGCAAAAGATAGCATGTGATTAGATCTGCATTTCAAAAGCCCAACTGGGCACAGGGTGGAAGGCTTGGGGATGGTGGGCTGGGTAGAAGGTGGTAAGGAGACCAATGAAATCCACAAAAGCCTGTTGTATGAAAAATTAAAATGGGACTGCCATCACTGAAGGAAAGCAGGGGGCCACCTCGCACCTTCTATATAAATAAATACTCTCACAAGACAGAACCGGAAAACCAAGGAGTCCTACATCTGTGGCATAAGAGCAAGAGCTGATGAGGACTGGAAACAAGGCTGTGTGTAGGGGATGGAAAGAAAGGGGCAGAGGAGGACAAAAACTTGAGAGTTCTGAAGGGAAACTAATCTCCAACACTGGGTGACCAGTCTGACATAAGGAACCAGGAGAAAGACGAGTATGGGGACAATTTGTAGGGTTTTGCTTTAAGTTGGTAGTTTGTTGATACTCCAAAAATAAAGAAACCAAAGAAGGGACGGGTCTATAGGAAAGTTAATATTTAACCTAGGTTATGTTGAATTTGTGGGGCCTATGGATGTGCACCTTCCCTCATACGCCCTGATAAATGACCAAAGAAAAATCATCTCCAATTCTCCTGTAGTAACTTTCCAACAGCTGAATCATGAGCTGGAAATGAGGGTCAAGTATAATTATATAAAATATCTTTACAGAATGGATACTAACAGAACTAAGCTTTAAAGGGAACATTATACATTCCCTATGTATTTACTGTACGTAAAATATTGTAACAGAGATTACAGAGGGCTAATAACTGCACATAAAAGCATAATTAGAAGATGTATAAAAAAAAAACACAATACTGTAAAAGTCCACCAAGTCTCTTAATAGACAGGATATACATTTATACCCTACACTTTCCATTAAGAATTTAAGATGGCTAAAAACATTTAATGAAAAATTAAAAAAGAATTTTAGATGGCTTATAGCAAAAATACACATAGTGAAAGGATAAAATGTAAATAATAATAATAAAATGTAAAAATAATTTTGTAAAAAAAATAGCAGCAGGAAAAATCAGAACTAGGAAGAAGGAAACAAGGTATGCGGAACAGAAGGGCTTTCAGAAATACTGCGGGGGCGCCTGGGTGGCGCAGTCGGTTGAGCGTCCGACTTCAGCCAGGTCACGATCTCGCGGTCCGTGAGTTCGAGCCCCGCGTCAGGCTCTGGGCTGATGGCTCGGAGCCTGGAGCCTGTTTCCGATTCTGTGTCTCCCTCTCTCTCTGCCCCTCCCCCATTCATGCTCTGTCTCTCTCTGTCCCAAAAATAAATAAAAAACGTTGAAAAAAAAAAATAAAAATAAATAAAAAAAAAAAAAAGAAATACTGCGGTGGACAACCAAAGTGAAAAGATTAACTGCGTGACTCTTATTGTCCATGAGGAGAAAACACAGCAATTTCTCACTCTGAAAAGGATGTTTCTGCACACCTTCCCCAATAGAGAAGACAGCATTTCATGATAAAACATGCTTCTAAACTAAATTAATTCAGCTTTATGAAAAACTCACTACCCTTGTCCCTATTTCTCAGAGGTGTTACCGCAGGAAAGTTAAACTTAAAAACCAACCAACAAAACTTTACACACTGACATTTGGGGATATCACAACAGGAAACCCAGAAAAAGATCTCATGATGGTGCTTCTCTGTACCCCTCAATGAAAACAAAGAACCAAACATCGGAGCTTAACTGGATGAAGGAAGCTGGCCGGGGTGGAGAAGGGAGATAAAGGCAGCGGGAAATGGGTGAGGTACATAGGTTTCTGATGGTCTCTCCTGATCCACAGAAAGAACGGATACGACTTCGAGGAACAGAGGAACAACATACTGTTTAAACGGCAGCAATGCAGCTTTGGCAAAGAAATGTAATAAAAAACGAAGAGTGGACAGAGTGAGGTAGAGATCTTTGGTGAGCACTCAAAAGTTCTAAAGCTATGGTACTGGCTGAGGACGGATCCACAGAGGTGGGTATCATATGAGCACGGTACAAGTGATATCCTCTCGTGAAAATCGAGGAACCTCATCGAAAGCCATGCCATATCAGCCCAGAGGAGGGCCCCAGGAACTGAAGGGCAAACACGAAACGCACCGTATAAGACATACAGAAAACACACACAGGAAAATACTCACTTGCATATACTTAAAGAAACGCAAACCAAAAAGACAGTATCCTTTAGCACCTACAAGCCTAAGCAAAAGAAGAAATTTAAAAATACAGTATGGTAAGGATTTTAAGAGTCCTATTCAAAATTTGTGAGAAAGAATTGAAATATCCCAGAATAAGGGAAACGGTGAAGTAAGCAATCGTCTGTTAGTGTATCCGTGCATTCAAATGATTATACGTGATAAAATGCGAATAGGGAAAGGTGCTTATGAAACTTTAAGAAAAAACAAGAGTACAAAGCGTACGTATTCTAGAACTACCACTATGTAAACTGTGTATATGGGCGCATAGGAAAAACCCTGGGTGGGTCACAGAGCAAGTCAGCAGAACCCACTCCTTTTGGAGCTCCCGCCGGCCTGGGGAAAGCCCTTGGGGACTTCGGGCAGGATGGGCCATCTTCACGGTGCACGCTGGACCGACCCCAACCATACTCACGTCCTATCCTCTCTGCCTGCTCAGCGTCCAACCACATCCCCGACCACCGTCCTCTTTGATTTTACAACTTGTGAGGTAGGTACTACTACGACCGTGACTGGAAAATGATGAAATGAATGAGCTTACAAATTAAGCTCAACAGAAGCTCTGTTTTCAGACCTTCTAGTTGGACACGCTTCTTCTTTCACTGACGCCCTTTAAGGTTTACCTGCATGTGGTTTCTTGGCTGACTGAGCGGGGCCGGGCACCAGAGGGCTGGCCTCTGGAGCGCCGGCTACGTGTACTCCTGGTTCCTCAAGGCCCCGGGAACACTCAGCAGAAGCTGAATTCCCTAAAAAGAAGACGAAGAGATGAGCTTTCCTGGGACACCTCTTTTATCGCTCTCCATTTCATTTTGTGTGGGGAGCATCGGCCCAGCAGATCAGATCCCAGCCAAAAGTCCCAACACTGCTCTGGATTTGGAGAGTTTGTGTTTTCTAGATTTATTTCACACACACACACACACACACACACACACACACACACACACACACACA